ACCTTCACTGGCAACCTAAAAAAACTTCAAAGACTACAAAACAACCTTGCACGCGTCGTCATTGGCCACACTCATCCCCTGTCTCGACGCACTTGCTTGTCTCCCTGCCCTCAACTGGCTACCCATCTCCAGTAGGGTCATATACAAGATCGCCGGCCTCTGCCACAATGCCTTCACATCTGCCTGCCTGCCGTACCTTTCTTCATTATTGACGACTTGCAGCTCAACACACGGCAGATGCCTGCGCAGCGCGCCTCACGACCTCCTCTTGATACCAAGATCCAGGATGGTCATGTCTATGTGCCGCTTCTCGTTGGCAGCCCCAACAGTCTGGAACGCTATCACCCCTCTGCACATTCGCAGCATCACCTCAGTCGCCTCCTGCAAGAGAGACTTAAAAACTCACCTCTATAACCATGCTTTCGAGCGACACTGAGCTTGGCTCCGCATCTCTGAGTTGTGGACCGTTACATCCGCAAATTTGCGCACGTTATAAATTGAATTTTTATTATTGTATCTGGCGTTCCACAACTCCCATTGTGTCGCAGATTCGCGCACAGCAGAATCCGATGTCCATTACTTTATTCTGCAGCACACGAAAAAGTGCATCAGTTTCATTGACAATGCCCTCATATGCCATTCTGAGGAAGCAGGATGATGGTTTTGACAGCCAGAGATCATATCCGGCGGCCATCATCAGAGTGTCATTGTCCCAACCATCGGGATTTTCGCTCATAATCCGGAACACAGCATGCAGATCAGATTGGTACATGCTGATCATCTGCACGTGTCCAGAATTTGAGCTCCATCTTGTGGACGCTGCTCTTAGTAAATGTCGATTCACAACATCATCCAGTAGGTGGGTGTGCTTGGTCGATTTATTAAAAAACGTCGCAAGTCCGTCAACTGTTTAAAAAAAACTTTTACAGTCAGGCATACATTTTGCTGAATGCTGAGGGCACCAGGTTCAATTTGTGTGCATAAACGTGGCTTCGTGTACCTTTTATTTAATCTTGGCCAGCACCGCATTAAGATCTGATGCCATCACAGAGGCTCCGCCATAAGCCTGGGCTACCAACTTTTCAACGCAATTGTGTTTCCCAAACACTCCCAAAACATAATCAGCAATAGCCGGTGCTCGTCTGTCATCATTCACATCATTAAATCCCAAGAACGCTTCCCTCACCTCACAAGTCACCTCACTTACAGCCACATAACGCAACATTACAGAGACCTGGGCTTTGTTTGTGACATCCGTTGTCTCGTCTACTTCGAATGCAACAAATGGGGCTGCATTAATCTCCTCTTTGATATCATTTCTAATTGCATCACTGATTGCTTCGATTAAATAGTTCTTTATTCTGTTTGATAAGCCAGAAAACACAGTGGATGTCTCCAAATGTCGAGCTAACTTTTAATCTTTCTCAGCAAAAGCATGTAATAGCTCCACATAGTTGCCACGATTAGAAGAGCTTGCACCTCTCATCGTTACCACGAAATGCTAATTCCTGTTTGGCGAGGAAGCAGGTTGCATTAATAAGGTATTTTAAATCTTCATTTTAAGCTTTCGTGACTGTAGGAATCCATATTCTTTGGCTCTTTCAGTAAAGTAACATAGATAGAAATTAATAGATCACGATGTTTCGATCGCAACACGAAGGTCTTTTAAAATCTCACGATTTTCCTTTACAGTACTTTAGCATTGTAGATGCTAATATTTAATCTCCACTGTTCATCCAAAGCTAGATCTATCCTTGAAGTTCCAAAAGTCTTAAAGCAATTTGGCTTTGAATGTGAGTTGTCAATTTTTCATGTTTGTTGAGGCTCCTTGGTAGATTTTTCAAGTAAAAAAAATCTTGCCTTCGTCCAAAAAGTGGAGAACAGAAGGCAGGAGAAGCAGTAGCACAGCCACATAGCCAGTCTTTTCGTTGGTACCACTTCATTTGAAACGACCGTGTTATTTTCTGTCCCTTCGTTTGAAGTAGGTTCTTAAGCTCAGGCATTGGTCTTCCATTGTTTATCACTCCCTGTTTTTATTGAAAGTCCAACTTTGAGAACTTGTTTAAGGTTAGATATAACGTTTTCCGTTTTTGCAGCCGCTGGAAATGTTTTGCTCGAGCTAGCTAACGTGGAGGGAGAGCGTGCGTCAATTACGCGGGCTCAAGACATGCCCCCCTCAGTGAGGCACATGTGATAGCTGCCTCCCTTTGTGCTTTTTCATTGCAGTTTCATGACGAGACCAGCGAGCCTAAATATATTTATACACATGCGTGAAATAAGTTACCTGGAGTATGGAAGGCGAGGACATGTCATGAAGGGGTCTATAAAAATGACATTGGTGACATACTGAGATAGTAACAGGCATGCGCTTATTGCCCGCACTCCATCCAGTTTCGGAGGGGTTGCGCAATAGAGGGGAGGCTGAGCTGGTCTCTGCCTCCTCGCCTCTCGTCTCTCCCTGTATTTGGAGTGAAGCTCCGCAAATTTGGCGATTTGACTATAAAACTTATTGGAATCATACATAAATGACATTTATAACACAGATCAGTGGAAAAATCTTAATATTTATTTCATATTATTTTACTTTTCGTAACAGCTATTTTCAATGGAGTATTGCAGGTGAGGCTCTGCCTCCCCTGCCTCCCCTGACCGCACGTGACTGGTAGGCATCGTTGCACATTATTAATCTATTAGAAAGATGTATATATACGTTTAAATAAAAGATGATCAAAATACAGTTGACCCAATGGCCTTTCATTGGTAATTGTAATCTATGTACCTATACTGTATCTATATAAACACATTGGGGCAGCTAAAAAGTGTAGTACAGGCGTGTCTCGCTTAACGAGTGAGATAGGTTCCACAAAAATTGCTCGGTACGTGAACCACCAGTGAGTGACCCATCACGGTCCTCCAGGTGGTCCGCGGGCTGTGATATGAGTGCAGACTGATCCGGAATGAATCATAAAACTTTTGTTTCGGGCGTTAATTTATGTTCTACTAGTATTTCATAGGTAAAAAATTCGGTAAACTACCCTGACTAAACTACCCTAACCATGAGATATAAATTAACACATTATAGCTGCGTAAAAACTATTTTTCATGTAAGGTAATATGAATAATTTTGTATTACCTATTTTCCCGCATATAACCCGCGGGGTATACCACTTTTTACAAACAAAACAAGACCCTGCGGGGTATATGGAGGTGCGGGCTATCCCAAAAGTATTTTACACGTGTGACATGTCATGACTCGTTTAATGTTTTCATGGTAGGACTATCCACTATGCAACACTTACCTTTGGCTAAAGCACTGATGAATAAACCACTCACACTAAAATCGCACTTGTTATCACGTTTTAAATTATTCGAATTATTTGTACAATTAAACGACAATGTTTGAAGTGGGCGCACTTTGTTTAACGGTGACGGGAGAGCTGGGGGAGGGAGAGGGGGGGGGGGCGAGGCAACGGCGTTACCGTAGTGCCACTATTATCTGCTCAGTGCTCAAATTATAGGTGCTAAAAATGTACTTACTTATCTACCAGTTATGTGTTACTTATTTATTGGATATTTACTTTTGTTACTTATTTACTGTTTCAAGTTCACTCGTTTCCAGTTAGTTTGTTTTCTTTGTGCACGTTATGATTTTAATGATAACAATTGATAGTGGAATGTATTACAAATGTAAACTTCGTATTAATATGATGGAATTAAACTGTGGTAACGACGTTAAAGATATGAATGCATGCGGGGTATATGGACGTGCGGGCTATCTGAAATTTGTGTTACACAAAACGCTATTTTTGCGGGGTATATGCGTATGCGGGGTATATGCAGGAAAATACGGTAAGTGCTGCCATTTAGAGATAAGTGATTGCGTTGTGTCGGTAAGGGGTTGCGGCTGTAGCGGCCCTTGCGAGCTCCCCCACCTCGTTCCGCCCCTCTCTCGGTTCGGTGCTAAGTGTTGGGGGAGGTGTCTCATTGGCAGAACAGGGAGACTCACGGGAGAGGGTGGAGCCCCGTGGAGAGTGACAGGAGGGAAGTGGCCGACGGGCGGTAAGTGGCACCGTGATGCTGCCCAGTGGCACATCTGCGTGGTCACCCAAAATGCCGTGTCTCTGGGTGATGGTCGTACCCCGCTTTCATTGTGTGCCTTCCAGGAGGGAGAGTTCACCGTTGATGAACTTCCCAGGCCTCCACATTTCTGCAACCTGTGACCAGTGGCCGTACGACATCTACAGCCCTGCCGATGACGGAGGTTGGGAGTCTCCAAGGCACGAATGATTTCTGGAAGACGAAATGCTTGGGCGTTCGACGTCTACAGTACCGCCGAGTACGGAGGTTTTGAGTCTCACAGGCATTCACGCTGCTGCAACTAGTGACAGACGTGTTCTCACTGAATCAGAGCCCGGGAGTTTGAGGCTGCAAGCTGCTCCTACATCAGAACTCAGGAGTCCGAGACAGTAACCTGATCTGGCACGAGGCCCCGGGGGAGTTTCCAGCGTCGAGACCCCAATAAGCGGTGGGGATGACTTTTCTGAGGAGACGCGAGTAGGTTGAATGTTTTGTGATTGTTTAGTTATGTTTCGTTTTGCTACATTTTCATTCCTAAAAGTCCGGTGTTTCTTCATTTCGATCAGGCTGCGCTGAGCAGTGGCTGTACCCTGGCAGCTGGGTGGGCTGGACTGCTTCACGAGGGGTTGAAAAGAGGTTTTGTCAGACGCTGATGGACCCATCACTATGACAGGGGGCTGGGTGGTCCATGGGCCAAACAAAGTTCAAGAAATATACTGCTCTAGACATTATCGTCAAGGCCATTCCACCAGCAATGGCGTGAGCGAGGAACTGCATGGCCCAATATTTGACTGACATCCGCTCACTGTGCTGCTTTCCTAATCCGCGCAGGAGCCAACTTGGCAGGCATGTCTCTGAACAGATGACCAAGGTGGGTAGGTTCAACTACGTGTTTCCTCTTCGCCGGTTGCACCATAAATTACCCGGCATATATTTACTGTTTCGACACGCAAGTCGACGCACACTGAAGACGCAAGCCGACCAACCCAGAGTGCTGCCTTCTCACAAGGTAAGCGCTTGCAGCACAGGTGAATCATTTGATTGCTTTTCAAGAAAAGCACTTTAAGACTATTGAGCAGTGACTTGCCAGAGTCTCCGATGCAATCGCACCTCGCAATCGCTTCCTTTTCCTCGACGCACCAAGCTGTTTCACAGCCGACAGCCTCCTCGTTGCGTTCTTAAAGCAGCCTCCAATTTCCCGATTGTTCCTAATGTTGGGCTGTCATTAATCCCGTTTTGACACGAAACAATGTACAAGACCATCATATGACAATACCTGTCGCTATGTTTGATTTTATATGTTAGATCTCCGACAATATGTTTAAAAAACGAATGTTATGAATACTCAATTACTGAAATTAAACCGTATAGTGTACGGGTAGTTGATACGTTCGATTATCAAACATGTACATATGCCACAAGAAGTTCCATTTCAAGTGATTATTCGTTCAACATAGTTTAATGAAAAAAATAAAAAAGAAACTTAGGTAAATAGACAAGTGGAGGGAATTAAAATTTGGAGCCCTGCAATGGAAGCAGAGAGATGCTGTAGCCTGCAGCATGGTGGTTGAACACAGTGCAGATGAGTTGTAACAGTCTGTTAGACTCAGTCCTCAACACATGAGTTGGAATGAGTGATATAAACCGAAACATTTGCTAAAGTTGCTAATGCGACCATAAGCACATTGATAATCCATCACCGTATTGTTTGTTCAGCTGTGTAACTGGTAGAGAAGCCCGACGATCGTGACGATGAACCCAAGCGCAGCTCCCAATGGGTCAGGTTCCTGCTCAATGGATGACTCCTACAAGTACCCCATCTACTCGGCGATCTACGGCATCGTCTGCATCATCGGGATGATGGGCAATGCCATCGCGCTCTACGTCTTCCTGTGTCTCACGCGGACCAAGAGTGCCAGCACCATCTACCTCATCAACCTGGCCTTCGCCGACATGTTCTTCGTGCTGACGCTGCCACTGCGCGTCGTCTACTACGTGCGTGACGGCGACTGGCCGTTCGGGGACGCGATGTGCCGCATCAGCTCGTTCGCCTTCTACGCCAACCTGTACAGCAGCATCTTCTTCCTCACCGGCCTCAGCGTGACGCGCTACCTGGCCGTGGTTCACCCCGTGCGCTCGTTCAAGGCCGTCACGGCGAGGCATGCGGTCATCGCCTGCGTGTCCATTTGGGTCTTTGTGACCCTGATCACCTCCCCATTCCTTCTCAGTGGCCAGCACGTCACGTCCAGCGGGAGGACCCTGTGCTTCGAGAGCTCGGGCAGCAGCCTGAAAATGATTTTTGCCATGAACTACCTCGCCCTGGTGGTCGGAGTCCTCATCCCGTTCGCGATAATCATCATCTGCTACGCGGCCATCGCCCGGGCGCTGATGAAGACCTCAGAAGGCCAGCGCAGGGACTCGAACGTGCGGAAGCGCGCGGTGCGCATGATCGTCCTGGTGCTCACGGTGTTCGTGGTCTGCTTCATCCCGTACCACGTGCAGCGCACGCTGCTGCTCCACAAGCTCATCAACCGCCACAGCAGCTGCGACACGAAGCTCTACCTGCAGAAGTCGGTGGTGGCCACCGTCTGCTTCGCCGCCTTCAACAGCTGCCTCGACCCGCTCATCTACTTCTTCGTCGGCGAGAAGTTCCGCGAACGGTTCATGAGCGCCGTGCAGAGGTACGCAACGAGATTTGGACTTGCTCGGGTGTTTTTCGAAGTGGAGCGCTGCACAGCTCTCTCCCATGTGTTTTCGCGTTTCGTTTTTTTCCTTCCAAATAATACCGCGATGTTTCATTGCACGTGCCGAGAGCTGCTCCAGGATCTGAGTATCCAGTTTCAGTTGGACTGATGGATTGGCCCAAAAGTGGACGGGGGCTAGAATGCTGCGTTGGGCTTGACCAGAACATTGGCATTTTGTTGAAATTTACAAGATGCCGTTAATTTCATAACTAGCAACCTACACGTCATTTGGCCATGACCATCAGTCTATTCCTTCATACCCTCTTCTACCTCTCCCTCGCTCTTCTTTGTCCACTCTATTTGATCCACTTAAACTATGAACTCAAACTTTTTTTTACACGCTTTTTGTTAACTCACTCTGTCTGTTGTATCCTCAAATTTTGTAACTCAATTTTAACCCATTTCCCAATGCGGTATTGACTGCAACTTGTCCACGCTCAACTGACGTTGGCTGTAAATCACCACGGCCCCTTACGTTATGGCAAGCTTCGGGGCTACTTTTGGAGTCGTAGAGTTATTCCATTACTAGTACGGTACATGTCATTAAAGCATGTTTTTAAAAACTTTTTTTTACTATTACTTATTTTATTTTACCAGGTAAGAGCCACTGAGCTATTTAGCTCGTTTTCACAAGCGACCTGGCCACAAATGATAGCTCAACGAAGTGGTTTATCACGTGGAAATTTATAGCAGCCACATATTCTTCAACGTATATTGATTCTAAATGTGGAGGAAGAAAGCAGAGAACACGGACAAAAATCCACGCAAGCACAGGGAGAGCATGCAAGCTCTAAATAAATCTGTGTCAGGGTCGGGATCAAACTCAAAACCTCCTGCATACCAGGCGAGGTAGTTAACATCTCGCCACCGCAGGGCTTCCCTCCCCCTCTCTGTTTCTCTCACCTATCACCCTTTTTCTCCTTATTACCACCTCTCCCTTTCCTCCCACTGCTTGTCGCTTTCCCTTGCTCTCCCATTCCCATTTCTCTCTCTCTCTTTCTAGCTTTCCTCTCCGATTCATGCCCTTTCACTCTATCCCCACCGCTCTCCTCTTTGTTCCAGATGTGTGTGATAACTTCAATCACCGCACACAAAGAATCTGGCTACGCAGGCAGGAATCCAGTCATCAAATAAAACATATAAATTGTATAGTTAATGTAGGGCCCTATTTAAAACTTTTACATTTAGGGACCAACCCTTCCTTTCTCCCCCTCCCTGGGAAGTTTGGACATCTATCTGAGGAATGGTCACCACGTTTAATCTGACATCATGCGGGAGATTCCTGTAAAAAATACACACATATTGGACACATTGCAGAGGTGGTGTGGCCAATACCACGCCCAACCACCTTTATCTTCCAAGTGTTGTTAATCACTGCACCGGGTACTCATGTAAAGCTAGATTGGCCGAGGAAGGGAGACCCAGCACCTGTTCTGATATCACTCACCACTGAACTTAAGACTTGGTGGTGAATCGAAATAAGCATGCCGAGTTCATCTGTTTCCCACTCACGATGTCCCTCACTCAAGTCAACGATGCTTTCGCCCAGAGTTGCAAAGTTTTCTGGGAAAAGAACAGCACCCACGTTCCGGCCATTCGGGTGCCTCCCTCCCCTCTGCGTTTTGGGCAGTGCATGGCCAGTCAGCCAAACTTTATTTTTACATATAAGAATATTATGCCCTCTATACGCCCTCCCATTGCTGATGGATAGATGGAGTGTGCCTCCCATGGGCATGCGTGAAAAATGTTTCCCTCCCATAGGCACTCACGAATCTCCTCCGCCACCAGCTCCGTCCGCCCCAAAGATCCCCTCGCCAGAAGCACGACCAGGGATGCTGCCAAGCTTCACATGCAGCCACTCGAGGGCGATCCTCTACAGAAGGAGGAGCCGCACGACGAGCGATAGGCATCTGAGTGAGACTCTGCACCAGACGAGTGTTCAGCGATGGATGCTCAACGCTGGCTGGTGAAACAGTGAATGATGATTGTCTTTTACCATATCGATATCACGCGTGTGATGATTTTTGTATCGTGCAGCTATGATTATTCCACTGCTGAATGAAGGCGCTCCCCAAGCCACTGATAACTCTCGGCATCCTGCGATGTAATAACAACAACTGCCATTCGCCACTAAGTGGCAGTGACATCACCACAACGCTTGTGCCAGGCTATGTGCAAATTGAGGTCACGTGAAGTGTCGAACGCCCACTGGCAGAAGGTCACGGGGCAGACCCAGGTGCCACGGGTCGACTGACTGAGACGACTGGCTGATGCACCACCTGTGCCCCCTACTGTACCAACATGCTGTGCTTTAGCCAACCGGCACTCCGCTAATTTTTGTGAGCGTCGCTCCTCCGCCCTCCATTGTTGTTGCATGCGGTGGCTGGGCATGCGGGCTACATGACCCAGCCAACGCAGTCTTGCCTGCCGGAAGAACACACCGATAGGACTTTGCCCAGATCTTTCAAGGATTTGTGAGCTCACACAATCCAGCCTGGTTAAACCCAGGATGGATCGTAGGCTGGCCAGCCTAAATGTTTCTAACCAGCGAAGATGTTCCATTAGGGGGGTCCACGTTTTGCAAGCGTAGAGAAGGGAGGGAATGACTGTGGCCGAGAAGACCTGAAGCTTCGTGCGGAGCGACAGACCAGGTAGCTTCCACACAGCGTTACAAAACCGATGAAAAGATATTGCCGCTCGACTGATTTGGAGTGAGACCTCTGCTACTAAACCGAAGTTGGTCATGAGCGCACTGCCCAGGTATGGGAAACTCTCCACTCTCTCCACAACTGCCCCATCACCGATTGGGAGTTGTGGGGATGGAGTGTCTGATGGTACAAAATACCCAGGCAGGTATTTAGTTTTGGTGGGCTGATGGTAAGGCCCCACCTCTTAGTGGCACGCTCCAGTTTCAGCAGCAGTGTCTCCAACTCCTCCTCTGAATGAGCAGCAATTACCAAATCATCGTCATACATAACGTGGTTGACCAATAGGGAGCCATCCCTTGACCGCACCCGGGCATCGATCAGCCTCCCATTATATCTGTACCAAATGGAAATTCCTCCGGTAGAGCTATTGAAGGCTTCACGAACTACGTGGTCAAAATAGATGTTAAATAATGTGGGAGCCAGAGAACATCCGTGTCGCACCCCAAGGTGTACAGGGAATGGCTCTGACTCCTGGCCATGTAGTTTTACCCGGGCCCGTACACCATCATGAAGGTCCTTAATGATTGTGAGCAGGGGGTCAGGGACTCCGAAAGCACGAAGAACAACCCAGAGCCCAGGCCTACTGATGGTATCATAGGCCTTGACCAGGTCAATATAGCAGAGATGTAGGTCTTGTTGGAATTCCCTACACCTCTGCTGTAGCAGGTGGACAGAAAATATGACATCTGTGCAAGACTGCCCTTTCCTGAAACCGCATTGGGGCTTCGCAAGCCTCTCCTCAGCGTGCCTAGCAAGGCAATGTTGAATAATCCTTGCCAGGACCTTTCCCTGCACACTGGAGTGAGATGCCCCTGTAGTTGTTACAGTCTGTCCCCCTTCTTAAAGAGGGGGACCACCAGGGCATCCTTCCAACCCTGCGGAACCCATCCAGTGGTCCAGACTGTTGTTATAATGTCATGTAGGGCAGTCTGTGCACAAACACCACCCTCCCTCAGCATTTCACTTGGGAGATTATCTCTGCCCGGTGCCTTTCCTGGTCTCAGACTCTGGATCGCCTTCAGTACTTCCTCAACAGATGACACCTCATCCAACCACTCACAGGAGGTGACTTCTTCCAATGTTTGAGGCACCGCAGTCTCAGCAGGGTCATCCCCACTTCGTGCCACGTTGTTTTCCTGGCTGAAGGATTTCTCCTCCCCCAGGACCTCACAGAAATGCTCAGCAAATCTGCAAACCTGTTCATTGGGGTCGGAGATTGGATCACCGTTTTTTTCCCTAATGATGGTAATAGATGTGCGCTGCAGATTCCTTTTTTGATGGAGTTAAATAGGGATTTGTGATCACGGGACACTGAGGCAGACTCCATCTCCTCAACAACCCGCGACCACCACCCATCCTTGCAGCGCCTCACAGCTCTCCGAACCTCCAAGCGAAGGCTGCGGTAAACCTCCTCATTCTCTAACGTGGGATGCTGTAGACGATTAGAGTGGACCTGTCGCTTTTTCTCAAAGATCCTGAACACCTGCTCTGTCAGCCAAGGTCTCTGGGGAGGTCTGGACCGCGTACCAAATGCAGCCATTGTAGCTGCATGAGTCACAGTCCTAAACCTTGCCCATATACCCTCGACATCAGGAGGAGTGGGGGACGATGCCAACCCCAGCCACAAGTGATGATGAAATTCTTGCTTGCAACTTTCAACAGCTAACTGAGACCAGGCCACCTTAGGTTGGAATGGGGTCCTGGGTGTATACCCACAACCGGAGTGGAAGAATGGCAGGCGCATCTTACAGATGACTAGTCGATGGTCAGAGGGCAGATCAGCTCCATGGTAAGTCCTGGTGTCAAGGATATGGGCTCGCATCCGCTGATCCGTCACTATGTAGTTCAGTAGTTGTTCTTGCTTGGACCCGGCATGCATCCATGATGTTGTGTGGATGCGCCGATGCCGGAACAGCGTGTTGGTAATTACAAGCCCATGGGCTGCACAAAAAATCTAGCAGCTTCCTGACCAAGCCCCATTTGGCTCCGCCAAATGGGGCTTGGCCAGGAGACGTCATAGACGCTTGTCCCCCCAGCACAAGCTTATTGGTTAGATATTTCAGTCGTGGTTTAGTGGTAATTTATTGAAGGTGGAGGGGTTACCAGCCCCTCACACCCGTCCAGAGCCCCCATATAGCCGCTGTGGTGGTCACATACGCCATGAGGGGAAAGGCCAATCGGAATTGGCCCTCCCCCCACGGCACTGTCCACGACAGCGTTGCCCGTCCGGCACCACGAGGAGGTAGAAGGTTGTTTTGCCAGACAATGAAATGATCCACATAGCACCCACACAAGAGCTGATTTCATCGCTCCATCTCCTTACTCAAGGATTTATGTCTTAATGCTGAACCCCTGACTTTTTTATATTCAACTTAATAAATATGGGTGACCATTTTCTATT